GACTCTGGCAACACTCCAGTCGGATACGATCTATAACCTGGCAGCCTCGACTGATAAGATATTAGAGGCCCCTAGTAGACCTATCTTCAACGTACGCTCTGTTTACGAAACCTCAAGTGTCAGGACTCAGGCTCAAGAGAACTGTTAATCAGCCTCTACGAACCCGAAGCCCTAGGTCATGACGTAACGCAACCACAGCGTGCTTTATTCTCCTGCAGTAGTTCACACAGGCGTGTAAGAGCTAATTCTTGCATGGTCACACATCTTAATTGGTATTGGTTCTACATAACCAATCATGACAGGGCGAGAAACTGCCGAAAGCCGTGGGCTTTCAACACAGTCCATAGGAAATCGGGGAATTGCCCCGCCGGCATGCGATAACGACAACCGCGGCCCCCATCCGTTATACGTCACGGATGTGAAAACCAAAGTTTGCTACTTCACTGACTCCAGTGCAGGAGTTGGCCTTCTGCTAGCAATCGAAAACAAAGGTCATCATGATTCGTCTCCCAATCTACAGGCATATAACGGCAAAAAGACCACAACACTTGGGAATGGTGTGTCCGACAGAAATTAGGTTTGCTCAGACCTATTCATCGGATTTTTCTTCTGATTGATGCCCACTATTAGCACAGGCCTGCCGAAACATCACAACCTACTCGTAGGCGCCACTTAACGACTAACCAAGCAACAGGATTTTATTTATTTGCAGAACAGGCTAAGCAGGTTTGAGTTTAGCTGCAGTTGGAATGAGACACTCGGTCGATTCGTCCCGTCAGACAGTGCTGTAAACGGATCCAGAGTTGGAACACACCCTACCGCCACAAAATAGTTTTCAACCAGTCATCCAGCATTGTGACAAGGTTTCATTGGCCATGGTTGAGATGTTGTAGCGTCACATGCTTCTTCAAAATCAATAGACTGGAGTTCGACGACATTCAACATTGATACTGACCATGATAACTCAACTGGACTCGCTAAGCTGAAGGCACCCGGCCAAGCATCCCCGCCATTTGGCACGCTGTCGTGTTACGTTGCATTGCTCGTATTCGACTCTCTAGCCAGTTAGTTGGAACGCATCGGTATTTTGGCATAACCATCCAAATATACTATTCCATCCGACTACGCTATCGTGTTCTTCCTTGGTCTCGTATTCGTGGGTATATAACAAGTTCGAATAATTAGTGATTGGTCTTTGCGTCTGTCAAGTTCGCACCAGGACAAATCCTAAATTGGTGAGCCCGACGTGATCACATATCCCGACCAATAACAAGTATTGAATTGGTGAGCCTGTTCCATTTTATATTTGTTTATTGTTTTCATTTCGATAACATTTATATATCCATTTACTACACTTTCTCATGTCCGACCACACTCCCAAGCTTATTCGTATTAAGCCGACTCGAACACGATCCAACTCGTGCCATATTGGCCAGACAATGCAGAAACATGGTTTCTGTATGCCGAGGCCGATTTTCGAGAACAGGGTGTCTCAGATCCTCAATCTCGATTTCTTGCTGTCATACGGTCACTACCGCGAGAATTAAACAGGTATGTTACAGCAAACATGTTTAATCCTGAAGTAAGTAACCCTTATGCACTTCTAAAGGCCGCACTCTTGAAGAAAAGCGATCTCACAGATCGCCAACGTCTAGACGAATTGCTTCGTAACATCGAGCTAGGCAGCCACTCAGCTACTGAAGTCCTCGCACGCATGCGAGAAGTAATCGGTGCACGAACATTTGACGATGGTTTCTTCCGAGAACTATTTCTCTCGAAACTACCACAACCGGTGCAAACCGTGTTGGTGACACTCCAGTCAGTCCCACTCGACGACCTGGCAGCCTCAGCAGATAAAATACTGGAGATATCCAGCAGACCCGTCTCCAACGTATATTCTATCTGCGACAAACCAGAGCGCCAGGATTCAGAGGTGACCAAGTTGTGCAACTCTGTGAGACGGTTGCTACGATCTCGAAGTCCTAGATCACGTAGCACTTCACAGAAACGCACCTTGGCGCATCGCAGCAAGTCGCGTGGTAGCCCTAAAACGAAACCCAACAGGGTGGAAAACCCTGAATGGTGCTGGTTTCATAACACTTACGGGGATGAAGCCAGAAAATGTCGTAAACCATGCCGTTTTAAGAAGGACACAAACTCGGGAAACGGTCACGCCGGCACGTGCTCACGGCAACCGTAGCCGGCGGAAAAAGCCGTTTGCTCTACGTCACGTATATTAAAACGAAAGTTCGCTACCCTCTGGACACCGGTATAGAAGTTAGCGTTCTTCCAGCACCGACAAAGAAGCGTCATCATGACCCATCCTTCAATCTTCAAGCCGCCAACAGCAGGGCAATCGCGACATCCGGGGGACGGTATGCCCACCTCGACTTAGGTTTACGTAAGCCTATTCACTGTATTTTCCTCCTGGCTGACGTCTCTATGCCCATCATTGGCATAGATTTGCTGAACCATTACGATCTACTCGTAGATGCTCGCCGTCGACGACTGATAGATAACAGCACAAAGTTATCTATTGGCGGCACCACCTATGTAGGTCCGGGTTTAGCCATCGTTAGAACCAGACAATCAGGCGACGCGTCCTACCAAGCAGTTCCGGAGAAATATCCAGAGTTACAGCAACCGAAGCACACTCTTCCGTGCATAACCAGCAATGTTATGCATCACGCCACAACCACAGGTCTACCTGTGGCATCCAAAGCGCGCCACCTAGCCCCCGATAAGCTCACAACGGTGAAGAGTGCCTTCGACCACGTGCTGGAACTGGACATAATCAAACCGTCAAACAGTCCTTGGGCATCACCACTGCACATGGTTCCCAAAAAGGATAGCAACGACTGGCGTCCAACCGGTGATTTCCGGGGCACAAAGCCAAAACAACACCGGCGGACAGCTCAATTATCGAAATTCTTGGCGATGTGCCCGGCAATGCACAACTACAACAACCATCGGCGCAGCGGAAAACATGATTAGGTCGAATCTTTAGGTTCCCGGAGTATTCTAATTGGTGATGTGAAATAGGTGTGCCAGCCACTTTCTTTTTAATTCAATATTTTTTCCTAGGCACTCTTTTTCTTATTCACCGGCAATGCGAAACTCCTTGTACACTTTGCCCTTTCATATCAATTTTTATTATCATGTAATGTAACGTTCTAGAAAAAAACGGTGAAAATAAGCGCAAATTTTTTATTGTTGATATTTTTGTATATGAATAATCCCCAGTTTTGCGAAACGTTTTCGTGGTACCAAAGACTTTTATTTATATCCCAGGTGCAACGAGCACTAGACGGAACGTCAAAGGAAACTGAGGACCACGATCGACGTACATCTCGATTTAATGTATTTTATTTTTCAGTTGCCACTACACTCTAGAATAAGTTCAGACAACCAGGGGCCACTTCACGCATTGAGCCCATCGAAAGAGTTTTACCAGTGGAGAAACCACTGGGTTTTTACTTCCGGCTGGTATCGTCTTAGGGTCACCACGAACCCACTAGGGGGGAGTGATCTGTAGCGTCACACATTTCACCAGAATCAATACCTAGGGTTGGACGACACTCAACATTAATGCTGACCATGATAACTCAACTGGACTCGCTAAGCTGAAGGCACCCGGTCAGGCATCCCCGCCATTTGACACGCTGTCGTATTACGTTGCACTGCTCGTATTCGACTCTCTAGCCAGTCAGTTGGAACGCATCGGTATTTTGGCACAACCATCCAAATATACTATCCCATCCGACTACGCTATCGTGTTCTTCCTTGGTCTCGTATTCGTGGGTATATAACAAGTTCAAATAATTAGTGATTGATCTTTGCGTCTGTAAAGTTCGCACTAGGATGAATGCTGAAATGTAAAATACTTCAAGAAACGCTCCATATGCTGAATGTAAGAACCATGGTTCCCTATGGCAAGCTGTCATTAAAACCGGCACGTGAGTAGGAAAATATGCTCATGGCGTCCAGCAATGTCATTCGCTGTAGGCAAGTATGGAGCTCCCACGCTCCGCCTATCTGATAACAGTGACGTCGCACAGACTGATGGCGGTAGTAATGACAATATGTGTTGTTACCATTCTTTTATTTTCAGACGTGCACCATATTTATGGGTTTGGTTACTACATTCATTGGTGAAAAATCTAGACCTAAGCCTATACTCTCCTAGCTGCCGAAGGTTACTAGGTGACTTGATAATGGCTCACAAAATACTGAATAACTCAAGTCACCCGAACAGGGGAATACTACCAAGTAGCGACCACGGAGATCCTCAAGGAAACCCTAAGAGAATAACCTACCAATGGTCAAAGACTCATGTGCGTTCACGCTTCTTCTACCTCTAAGTCTTAAAGTACTGAAACGCACTACCGGCGGAGATGGTCTCCGCCACAACTATTGAAAGCTTCAAGAAGAGGCAAAACAGTCACGCAGAGACCCGTGGTCTACCCACATAAAGCTGGAACACGAACTAAATAGAAGAAGAAATCGACTTATGTCAAGCCACCCCAACTATTTTAATTCTACAACCAATCTTCTTTCCACTGTAGCAGTCTAAGCCCTTTTCATCCCTTCCATTTGCCATGAGTTGGCCTCACTTACCTAAGTTCTTCATACCTTTGCACCCCTCTTCGCCTTACGTGGGTGTAAACAGATTACTCCATTAGTTCACTTTTCTTTTCCCCTTTTACTCACACAAACTCACCTTTCTAGGTTTTCTCTTCACTATCCCTAACCCCCTCTAGCGACCAGTCCGAACAACTGCCTGGCAACTCGACATCTGAAGAAGCCAACTGCACCACAGTCCAAGGCAAACAAACCAACACTTCCTGTTCTGTAAATCAGAGCCATAGCAGATGAGCGGCTGGATCTACCGCATCGGAATCCGCCAAAGACCTGGAACCATTCCGCAAGACCAAGAAGCGAGCAAGAAGAGATCAAATGGTTTAAACAAGCTCGTTAAAAAGATATTGGATATATTGAAAATTGGACGTTGGGTGTTGAAAGCGGGTTATATTGTTGGTTTCGTCGTAGTCGTTGGTTAACACTGGAACAACTGCCAAATATGTTTTATAAGCCGGAAGAAATCGAAGCTGTCAATGTACCAGATATAGGAAACCTTATGCAACTAGATCCTTGGTTGGAACCATATAAATACGAAATAAAACGAAGGTAGTTTGTCTTTCTGTTGTTTTCACGTAATTGTCAGATATAAATGCTTCTTAGATCATCTGAAGTGGATAAATGACGTTTGCGGTCTGGAGGAATTTACCCAGGGTTACAAAGAGTTTGGAATACATGTACATGCTGATGGATCAATATACTCCAAGGAATGGGCTCCAGGGGCTAAGGAGTTATACTTACGTGGAGATTTCAGTAATCTATGATCAGTTACCTTAGCTTTTAGACAACTGGCAGGAGTTTACTCATCCATTCAGGAATGTTGGTTTTGGCAAGTGGGAGCTAACCATACCATCTGTTGATGGCACATCTGTGATAGAGCATCTTTCGAAGATCAAGGTTTTCTTTTCTTGTGATTTCCTTCATTTTGTAGCTATTGGTTGTAGCTCAAGATGGTCGTCGACTTGATAGGCTAAGTCCATGGGCTCCATATGTGAAATGCTTTGAGGGTAACATAATATATGACCAAGTTCTATATAACCCTCCTGAGGTAACGTAACTCGTGTATAACTCTTCACTTATAGAGGTATATATTCAAACATCCACATCCTCCACGACCCAGGAGTCTTCGGATATATGAGTGCCACATTGGTATTTCATCCTCCGAGCCAGTTGTCGCTTCTTACACCCATTTCAAGGATAATATACTCCCTCGAATCAAGGACTTGGGTAAGTGGGAGTATATAAGAATGATGACGATCTCGTTTAGTGATTAGCAACATAATATTTAATTCCTATGTGGCAGTGTTGATTGATATAAGAAATCTACTGCTTTGGTATTGTGATGCAAATCTTAGGCTCTAGTTAGCTATATATCAGTGCATTTTATGATGAACGTATGACAGTTGAAATGTAAATGTCGATGAATATGTAGGTCTGAATTTCGGTATTATGCTGATATAGGCACTTAAGAACTGCGAAATGCATCACCAGTTTGCTTTACTTCCTTCTGTCATCCGTAACCAATAAAACTGACTGAAAGTGTGACGGTTAATTGGTTGTGAATTATACTCATTATTTACATCAGTTCGCATGCATCACATTACCTATACATCATCTTTCGTGATAGATCATGTATCTACGGACAACACTAATGCTTCACCATGCAGTAAAATTAGGTATGACAAGGCTCTAAACTAGTGATTATTGGATATGGTTCACGCAGGGTATGTATCTATTTGTGAGGACCTTCATCCAACAACCACACTTTTTCCACAGGGTTAAAAATGTAATCTATAAGCTAGTTTCTCATAATCATTTAAATTGCTCTCTTCGTAGGATACAATGCAATTCAAATAATGGCGCTTATGGAACATGCCTATTATGCTTCTTTCGGATACCAGGTGACCAGTTTCTTTGCAGCATCTAGGTAAACATTTTATTCGCCTAAATGCCTTGATGTATCTAGTTCTAATTAGTGGAGACTATTTATTACTGTGCTTACATTTCCGCTGCACCTTTTGATCACTAAGACTTTTATCAGTTTCCATTCTTAGTATTTAGATACGTCTTAGTAGTAGTTTACTAAGCATTGCTTCATTTTTTAATGCCAACACAGTCCTGTCGGATAGACACCTATTGGAACTTTTCAGTTTTCAGTTATATGACTGTTGATAAACACCACTTGTCACTAACACAAGGGCACGTTTCCTTATACATGTCTTGTTGCATATAATCCTATTGAAGTAATGCAACTTTATAGCTGAATGGAGCACCAAATACCTGCCGTCCCAGTGGAGAACGCATCTGTATGTGATGTCGCTTTATATTTTTAAGATTAGAGATATGTCGTTGATTCAAAAATGTTTGTTCAACAGTTTACTTGATGCAATTCTTCCCTTTCACGATTTCGAATAAACCACGGAGAACATTAGTAGTAGAACTAGTATATGTATATTTCATGGATTCTCCTCACCTACTTTACAACCTATAGAACATGATGTTTTTGATAAGAAACATTTTACATGACATACTATCGACAAGAAGACCGAAGGTAACAAAGGCTTAGGTTGACCGGGAATGATGGAATTTGATGAAGTTAAGACTACTCCAATGTTAGCTGCTTATACAGCAATAAAACAAACACTTTAGGAAAGGTAGCGAAGTTCATTTTCCTGACAAGACCAGTTTCTTCGTCCCACCTTCTTTGTGTTATGGGTAGTGGAATTCTCCATATGTGCAGAACACGTGCTGAGTCATTCCTGTTGTATGTATTAGGTGTTGATTCGATAAACAAAGATTCAGTTACTAATCTCTTCCTCCACCACGCTAGGTTAGTTTAAAGGATTTTCATCCTGTTCCATCCTGTTGTATGGTTGTGTGTAATTGCATCCATAGCTATGGCCGAACTTTTCTAAAGTCCTTAACTTACCTGGATCTAACGATTCGATCTCAAAGTTGTGTAGTGATCTTGATATGACTATGAACAATAAATTATGTCCGGAACGTAATCCTGCAAATAATACTGTCCCACTGTGCACTGCTTGCAGCAAATTAACTAAAATGGAATTACATCCTACCACAGTGCTCAAGTTTTACCTACCAATTTTTGTGTTGTTGGTCCCTAAGTGAGCACTTGGGATCATCTTTTCAAGACTCGCTTGTAAAACAAATTTTTATTCCTTAGGGCTTCTATAAATAAGTTAAAGCGACTCTATGAGTTCTTTATAAAGGTTTTTCGATTTACTTAGGAGATTGACAGCTGTAGGGCCATTATGTGTTGTCTCAAAAATAATTATCGTTTCATAGGAATCCACCTATTACAATCAAATGGGGTGGAATTTTCACATTCCAGGTGCCTTCCATAAAGTTATTTGTCTCCAAATTTGCTGAATAGACTCACTGTAGTCAGTCTGTAATACGTGTTCCAGTAGTTAGTTTGTATGCTGGACTACTTACCCAATGCGTGGGACGTCCATATAATACTTCTCAATTAGAAATGTATGTAGTCGTTCTTACATCCACCACTAAGTACCTGGATCACTAAACGACAGTTCCTTATTCGTTTCAGTTAATTCTGTTTTTCCAGATCCGTTACTTTTTTTTATAATAGTTTAGAGTTCAGTGATTCGTTTCCCTTGGCTGATCTAGTCAGCATAGTAGCTGATGTTATTTTTAGGTTTAAAAGTTTCTGAGGATGGTCTTTGGATATATGTTGCATAGTTGCGCTTCATATTTCCAGCATCCCTTCCGACCTTACTCCAGGTATATTCGGAATGATGCTTTTTCAGGCCATTAGTTTGAGAGGTAGTATCATGAGATTAATTAAAAGCTAATCAACTGTCCTATAATCTCATCTCGTGATGATTATCGAGAATCGCTATTGGTTTTTTGACGAAACATTTGCTATTTTAAATGTTTTATCACAGTAGTTGTGAATTCTTTGTGATGTGCGCTCATTGAGAACGAAATAAAAATGAATGAGATGCAACTCAGAAAGTATAAACGAGTTTTTGTGCAAGGGTATGAGCAACACATTAGAGGAATATCTTTTGTACTCTCCGTCTTCCTAGACATTATTGGAGAGGCGTTATAATCACAAATATTTAAATAACCATTGAGCACGGCCCAATTCAGTTATACTGCGGTAAAAATATGTCTGACAGATATTTTTCCGAATAAATTACTTTGATTGTCACGCAGCTCCTTTACCCGGTACAGATTTGTGTACCAGGTTATAAGCCATAATCAATGTTTTGGGATTCATGATTCTACCTGGTTGCCCACACGTGAAATGAACCCCAGGATCAAGGACTTGAGCCAGTGCACCTTAGCTCCACCTATTTACATATTGGTCATGCGTTAAATAGCGAGGTACTTCTCTGCTTACTGACACTGCAGATACCTTTTTATTCTCCATTTCAAGCAGTATTGACTTTAAGGAGCAGATAATCGCCTAAAAAAGAAAAGCATTCAAAAGAAACAAACGGCTCCATTTTGAGATGTACCATCGAATATTTAGACTTCACATCAAACTTTCTACATTATTTTCCCAATAATTTCGTTGAATGTGAAAACCGCCTAAAAGGTAGTGGTGGGTAAACACCAAGAACTTCATTTTGTTAACTTATAAAATTAGTGACCCAAATATATCCAATATATGTGCAGTTAGTATCTGAATTTTGATAGGCGAGTGGATGTATCAGAACAACAGATAATATGAGTTGGTCGGTGGGTGTGCTTTCTATATTCAGACCAATCTGCCTAGTGTTCTGTCAATAAAGATGAATATAATTGCCAATTTAATGGGAGAAACTAGGTACATTTATGCCTATAATGAAGTTAAACAAATAAATCTGTTATTTCAAATTCCAAAACTCATCTATACAACTACTCACCTCGTTTCGATATATCCAGGAAATATGCTGATGCATCTCATCCGGCAAAATATCTGCATATTCCAGGTTAAGCACTTTTTAGAGGTCAGATCGGGTCTTGAGTACTCGTCAATGACGAGGATAGTTTTAAAATGTGGTTATACGACTACTAGCGAATATAATAACGTAAAAGGTAGGGAACATGTATCACAATGTACTTGGGGCTCTGATTTTGAATGCTTTTATGCTATGCAACTTATACTGAGGCCAATGAAGTTTTCAGGAAAATCCCTAGCAATATAGTTCTATCTGCAGGTCCTACTTTTTTTTGAATTGTTTGCATTCATCTATTTAGAACGTTGCTTCATTCAAATTAGCCAAAATTGATATAATTCAGTTTCTCAGATGTTTGGATTTTGCTTGTGTAAGATACTGCATAAGAATTAAGAGTCTCCACGAAGTTGAATGTTGATATCGCTTATAAAATCACAGGTCCAGATAAGTTTATAGTTACTGCGAATGAGTTGTGTTTATGTTATGCTATATCCTCAGTCAATCACCTTTTTCTTTTCCAGTCGCTTTGGCACTCCAGAGGAGCTACGAGCTTTGGTTGATGAAGCACACCGACTTGGCATAGTAGTTCTTCTAGATGTTGTTCATAGCCATGCCTCTAAGAATACCAATGATGGTCTTAACCAGTTTGACGGTACAGATGCTTGTTACTTCCATGACAAAGGCCGTGGGACTCATGACTTATGGGATTCGCGTCTTTTCAACTACACACAGTAATGTTTCTTTCATTTATGTTTTTTTCTTGTTGTTTAGTAGAGTGGTTTTAATGTTTATTAAACTTGGTCTTCAGTAACCAGGAATTACTTTCATTGTCACCAATCAGAACTCAGATAATCGTTGATCATTTTGTTTTGATTCAATATCGAGTAAGTTCATGTATACTCTTAATGCGAAGATAGTTCAAAAGTCAATTGAATGTCCCTACACTTTACAATCAGTTTTTGATTTCATACACGATTCACTAAGTTTTATGAAAAACTTTAACCGACTTCGTAATGCTTCCATGTTTTGGTTCAAATCCAATACAAAACAACCTGCAATCACATCTTATTCTTTTATTCGTATATGGTTCTGTGAAATCTTGTTCGCTTTGCTTGCATGCTACTGTAGTAAATAACTTTCAATAAATATCTCAATGGAATACAAAGGAATGCTGTTTTTCCGGTTTTTTCCTTTCTAGCCACTCATATTGTGTTCTTGATGTACAGAATGTTATTAGCTCCCATCATAAAAAGGTTTAGATAACAACTAATCTCAAATGACTATGTTTTATGGCTTACTTCTATTTGTGCACGCTATGGGCAAATTTATGCAATTACTCCTACTGTATCCTAAATTTAGAGTACAGTTATTCTGTTTCAAATAGTTAGGGAATTAGGGAAACTTTATTTTGAATATCGTTGCTCATGCTTGTAATAGTACTTATTTAGTTAACCGAATTCGAATTCATTCACATTCGATGGTTCCTTGGCGCTTATTTCACCATGCTTTTGGTGCATAAATGGATTGGACACTATAATGCCTTCGAATTCAATAATCATCATTCTGTTAAAACTAAAGTGATTGTTTCTCATTGTTTAGGTATTCAAGTTACTTGTTAGTCGAATAATTGTTCCTAACAGTTAAATTTTATGTCCATGACTTGCGTGGAGATGAAAATAGAAATGATATCTAGTTAGTTAAACATCAAACGGAATGTTTGAATGTATGTTTTGCACGTAACTTTTTTACTATTGGCTCACTAGGATATAGTGGTGAAACCACAGAACTCAACTGCCTGAAAATCAGAAGACAATCGTTAGTCTATAATTTGCATGTACATAGTCATAACTCAGATCATTTGTTCAAATAAATGATCATTTATGTGTTAAATGTGTGAGCAAGATAACGGTTGTGAAAAATACGAGGTAACAAATATTTAGCCAGGAACAATAGGAAACTTCTTGTGAGCTCCTAGTTTTGCATAAAGCATTGTTATTGATCTGAACTTTTTTTTACGGTATGACTAGTAGTTTGTTTTCTGCCCCCATTGTAAGGTAATTCGCTGGTTGGTTAATCTTTACTCTTACTATTCCAATGTCTCAAATTGAGGACAAGGTCTTTTTTCATTTGTGTACTTATTCACGTGTTTTGCGATTTATTATTATTATATTCTCGGAGAAGTAAACTCTCCCACCATCCACCTTCGATCTTTCGACCCTAATACACGTTTCTACACGTCTATCGTGTCTTCCCTAATTAGTTGCGTCGGGAATCATCTAGGAATTTATCGAATGTTGGTGGCTGACAGTGGATATCTGTGCATCGTTAGCGGCCATAGCATATAGCAGTCTGACTCCAAATCATAACACAGCTAATGAAATATTCCGAATATATGTAAAGCTGTTGTTCTATCCGCTGCTAAAACCACTGATTTGTGGAGTGATTGCAATTTTTTTGAACTGCATGGAGTAAGAACATCTTTATTTCTTGGGTGGTTATCGAATTATGATTTCTCAATTAAGTTCACTTCCTTTGAGTGATGAGACTAGTTATTATCCATACAACGTAATGCCGAATCACCATGTATAATTAATGTTAATTATTTTAGATTTTTAAAATTTACCCTTGAAATACTGATAGCAAGACTTCTACAGGACTGTTATCAGATTTTATTCAGTGCTCGAAGAAAGCTATCTCACATGCGCCAATTTTTCCTCTTGCCTTTATTTTTTATAGGTTAGAGGTACTTCGGTTTCTCATGTCAAATTTACGTTGGTGGATTGAGGAGTATGGTTTTGATGGTTTCCGTTTTGATGGAGTTATGTCTATGCTCTACCATCACCACGGTTTGATGACAAGTTTTTCTGGTCATTATGGTGAATATTTTGGCCTTTCTGTAGATACAGAATCATTTACTTATTTGATGCTGGCTAACCATTTTCTACACCAGAAGTATCCATTCGTCATTACGATAGCTGAGGTAACAGTAGTAGATTTACTTTTCTCTAGCCATCTTTTTCTATATTCATTTTGCAGCTAGTTAAGATAGGTGGTGGAAAAATTATACCTTTATATTTAGGCTCAAAACTGTGACTATTTAGGTTTTAGTGATTCCTCAGGGTTAGATTTGGACCCCCTGGTTTACAGTTTTAGACTTAACATTAGTCTTAAAGTTTATATTGATTACCCATCTGATCTTCAAAAGAGTTAGTAATTCCTTTTTTTCAGGAAGTCAGTGGGATGCCTACTTTATGTCGTCCAGTTTCCGAAGGTGGTGGTGGGTTTGATTATCGATTGGCAATGGCTATTCCTGACAAATGGATCGAGGTAACTTTATTCCTTTAATGCATGCGTGCGCTGCATATGAGCCAGTGCTCAGTGCTACTAATTCAATTCTAACTCAACTTTGCAGAATATTCCGAAGCACTGTTATTAATTTTGTGTCTTGAAGTTTGCAGCTATGCTCATTAGCGTTTCTGGAAAAGAGATCTTGTCAAATATATCATGCTTGTACTTCTTAATAATTAACAGTTATTTAGTTGCCTACCTTAGGACCACAGATACAAGTTATTTGCACCTATTCAAGTTTTTATCAGGCTGGATAATAACTTCTTATTCCATCACAACCAATGGGGCCGTCAAGTAGGTATCGAACCAATAGATAGTTTTTCAGTTTCACTGTGATTGAAACCGATATAAGAATCGTTAGGGCTTTTACAAACTTGGTGCTGTCTTCTTTCTGTTGCATTGTACGAAGTTCTGGGTTATTGTTTGTCTACATTTTGGCTCAAATGTTTGTTAATTTTTCAGCCTAATCTTAAAATCCTGGTTATTCTGACATTCAGTAAGGTCTAGAGCAGGATTATATTGAAAGGCTAGAGGTGATCAAATCACTGACATGAAGATAATACATAAAGCCACAGACTGTTAGTCTGAGATTTATGGGAAAGTTCAGGCTGTTTGGTTGAGGTTTATTAGATGTTCAGGTAAAGTCACTCTTAGTTTTGCTGAAGATTTTGAATGTGGTGTCATCTTACCTATGTTGTCTTCATTTTATTTTCCGTTTGATAATTCAAATATTCCATTTCTGTTGATTTCCTTTTTCTATGCTGAGGTAAGGTCTCATTGATTGGTCAGTGGAGGGTAACTAATTCTATGTTGTCTAGTCGTAAGTGCTGGCGAATTCTGTTGATGATTTTGCAATGCGACCACCACGCTAGGAGGATCGCCATTGCAATACACTGCTGGTGGATATTATTTAGTTGGATCCAGTCGGTAGAAAACCCCGGGCCTAGGTTTTATGCTTTTTGACACTCATCAGCAAAGCGTATCTACCACCTCGAGGCAACTGATGTATCCTCCGGGGTTCGAACCCGCGTCATCCAGTGTTATAAGCAGCAAAGATACCACTGGGCTATTTGAACCGCGATTGACATAGTGCTGGACTGACCATGGTACCGAATTCTGTCGATCATATTGCAATGTAACGAGTGCCAGCAAGCACGAAACTGCTGATTACCTGGAACCTCCTAACATATTGCATAGTTTGTCAGTTTAAACGGGTTCACTTTGTGGAAAGTTCATCTCTATCAGAAGCTGTGTACTGGATATTTAAATGCTTACTGTTTGGCTTTCTTGATGTGCGGCTTAATAAATATGAAACTTGTCTATAACCTCTCAAATATCATCGAGTATGTGTGCTAGTCGTATAAATGATAAAATGCAACCGTAACTAATTATTGAAATAGTTAACCGTAGTTACTGAGTTTCAATTTGTCATAACTTTTTTGCCACTAGTTATATCATTGTGGTGAGAACTTGACATAACCTAAGCTATATATTTGTGAACGCTTGAACAAGAGCTTTCAGATTCCACCCCTAGATAATCGCTCAGTTTCTGTGTCAGTGAAAAATTGGTAAGATAGCAGGTGTATTGCAGTGTCAAAAATGTATACAAAATACGAGGGTTTATATTTATTTACAATGGCCTTGGCTATTTCCAGGCCTTTCTAAATTTGAATCCGTTTGCTTTTCCGTCTCTTCAACGTTGGTTCACATGCCTTCTCCTGAAACATCTGGGCAAAACAATTGGTTGTAACAGTCTTCAGAGATTTAGGGCTTTTTATGCAGATCATGGCAATCTTATTCCGCACTATGACACAATTTACCTGCCAAAGAATTTTTTCACTGTTAATATTCTTCCAGTAAACACCAGCACTTCACACCTAAAATGTACTCACTTATTCCATATTCGATTTTTTCATGGGATATACACCACACGGTGATACAGTGGTGATGTATATTGAATAAACAAATCTAATATGGAATTACATTCTACCACAGTGACCTAGCTTTCACTTATACTAATGTTCATTATGAAGTTTCACTTGATTTCCAAATGTTTTTAGTTATACTAATTTTGATTTTCTTATTCAGCTTTTAAAGAAATATAAAGATGAAGACTGGAACATGGGTGATATCGTGCATGCACTAACAAATCGACGTTATGGTGAAGCAAACATTGCCTACGCTGAATGTCATGATCAAGCTTTGGTTGGTGATAAGACTATATCGTTCTGGCTTATGGATAAAGAAATGTATTATAGTATGAGCACATTAAGTCCACCAAATTTAATTATTGATCGTGGTATTGCATTGCATAAGCTGATACGCTTTATAACGCATACCTTAGGTGGTGAAGGTTATCTCAACTTCATGGGTAAGCGATTATTTTAATATTAAACTATGCATACGTTTTTTCCTCCTGCTTTATTCATTATATCCTTAGGAAGTTAAAACACACCATTATATTAACTAGTGTAGTTTTACTTTAAGTGGTTAGATTGAGTCTAGAGGAGACTAGATTGAAGCCACTAATTGAGTCATGATAGACTAACTGTTGTCAACCTGATAACATAAGTTGGTAGTTAAGGTGTTTATACAACTTTTAACTTCCCTCTATTCTAGTCATGCTTTTCTCAGTTTTTAAAAAGTTTATTTCAGTTTCTTTAAAAATTGTCTTAGATTGATAGTCTACATGCACTCGATTTTCTTTGTAGCTAGTAAAATAATCTTGAAATAGATATTTATATCTTAATCTTATCTAAGTCACTACGAAAAAGAGCATTAGATTAATTTTTCATTTTGATTATCTGAGATAGCCATGATTTAGCAGACTAGTATTGATATTGGGTGTTGATTGAATTTCAAATGAAAATGTGGGCGGCGACGGGAGTCGGACCAGCGACCACCGGGTTTCCGGTTCGATGCTCTACCAAGTGAGCTGTGACACCCGAATGCTGACCAGATTTTTATTTTACTTCAGTCATAATCCAGCATCAAAGTTAGTTTGCGTAGTTAAGCTACTGGAGGTTTGTAAAGCTGTAATATTGCCACATAGTGATTGTACATGTCTTTCCAGGTCTAGTAAAGTTACTTCATGAGCCATTGAAGTGTTGAAAGTCTATGGATGATAAACTACACTATTAAAATTCTAATTATCATTTCCATTTCTTTTTTACCTCTTAAACATTCCTTTATTAACTTTCAATGAATTTCATTTTGGATTAATTGGCAGGTAATGAGTTTGGTCATCCTGAATGGCTAGATTTCCCGAGAGCCGGCAACAATTGTTCATATCATTATGCTCGTCGTCAGTGGAACCTTGTCGATGATCCAATGTTGCGTTATAAATATCTAAACAATTGGGATAAAGCTATGCAACATTTAGAAGAAACTTATGGTTGGCTGGCTGCTCCACAAGTAAGTGTGATTGTAAATAAGGCTTTATCATAGTACTTTACAATATTTAACGAATTTGTTTTTACCTAACTTTTGATGTTGTCATCCTTTCAGTCAAGTAGCTGCTGTACGTGAATGGAATTCAAAATAGTATCATAGTGTTATGATTTTACCAGAAAGCTAATGCTTCATGCGGCTAAATAATTCACAGAAACAGAAAACCTTAATATCAAATGTTTGCCAGTACCCTACTTATTCACTACTTCAACTACTAGCATGCCACACTAATAAAAAATGAGTATAAAAGAAGGACACACAATTATGGAATTATTTATCATAGTCTTGATTTTTACTTACCTGTCATTCTCGTATTATTTTCCTGGTCATGACCTAATACTAACTATTAATGTACAAAATATATTGACATTCTTTACCACTAAATGGAGATACTAGTTGTGTTTAAATACGATTATGTCACCAAAAACATATTTGTTCTTTGAAGTCGATTTTTTGAAAATTTTTTATGGTATTCAATACACCTCTACCATTGGCAGATATGTTTTATTGGTTCCAGTGAAAATTTCTGACTGATGTGAATGGATGAATGCTATACTCAGCAATCTTGTGCAGATCCATGGAGTAGACAGTGAACCCCACCTATTGTGTGAGGGCTAGTGGTACTAACTGGCTGCACAAACCTCAGTAGATGGAGTGATGTTTGAACCCGTGGCCCCCATTAGTTAAAAGTAATCTCCCTAAAGCAATAAGCCACAGGTCAATGATCGGAATCTAAAAATATCCTTTCAACCCAATCCATTAATTGAAAATTAAATAAATTGAGACAAATCTGTAGTAATAATTTTCCGGTCTGCAAGCCCCATCTTCTGCGATATGTGGTTATATATCTGGTTTATTTAAACCTAAGTTAGCGAAGTACGTTAAGACCTCTTTAATCCAATGGCTAGAGGCGAAGTGCCTAAATAACTGCGCTAAACCATTAGTTATGTATAGTGTCTGGATACTTACTGGTTCTTATTATGGTATAAAACAGCTGTTCCTGTAGTATTCGTAACATGATGAATACATGTTATGGCCCCTTGGTGCAGTTCTTTAACTCTCAAGCATCGGATCTTGGTTTCAAATCCATCCTATTTGATTTGTCTTGGTTGCTGTAACAACTGCTATCCAATATGTATGACTTGTGATCCAATACATAGATTTACGTTATTTTTAAGTTGACCTGATATCTATTAATGGTGATCACCTGTTTGTTTGATGACCATAATTCTTTTATGTTTTTCATTTATACTTATCAGGCGTACGTTAGTAGGAAAAATGAAGGTGATAAAGTCATTGCTTTTGAACGTGCTGGCGTTTTATTCGTCTTTAACTTTCATCCCACACAAAGTTTCACGGACTACAAAATTGGAGTTGAAACATCTGGACGGTAAATTTGTGCTTGGTTTAAAAAAATAAATCTTTTTGGTTACAATTGGTACATGCACCAGGTGTCAGTGTCCATAAAATGTCACTATCACTTTATTACTGATTGTGAGTCCTAACGAACGGACCTTATTTTGTCCATCCACCAATTTTTCAAAATTACATGGATTTCTTTCTACCGTCGATATAACGGTTATGAACTTATTCTAACTCAAGTTTCAGTACTTACTGCTTACTTAGGAATAAGAAGCTTGATATTTGAATCGATTTTAAAGATTTGAGCCATATAGGGCGATCCAGACTAGGGGGGCTAGGTACGCGGGATTACAGAAACCAGTGGTTGGAGACTCTGGGTGATATGGCTCAGAACCGATGTCAATGGCGCAGATGCATACATGCATTATCCTCATCTTAACCGCTATACTTAATTTCATAATTTCATTTTTTCTTCATCTTCCGAATTATTGCTTTGTTACTTGATGTCCTGATATGAGGTTTGGCAACTTGGACCATTGCGCAGTAATGTCCTGGTCCTATGTTGATCTTGATGATGACGATGATAAAGATTTGTCCAGTATCTGATAGTCTTTCACTTACTGCTGTTAATACATCCAGTTTTTGTAATTATAGGTGGATCCAATAATTCCTGTTGTTCTACACAGTCTATCAGTTCTGTTTTGCAGTCAGTCCATAATAACATGGAATCTAGCGTTTCAGAGTTACAGCCCGCTTCCCCAAGCCTTCACAGAAGCATATCAGAATGCTGTGCATCAAGAAGGAAGACAAAAGAACGAGAATGAAGATAAGATATGAATGCACCTTCGCCTCTGATATTAATTTTGAGCTGTATCACCTTGAATCTGCAATCATTCGTTTAGGCTATCTTATGGAGTTTAGAAGCCTAAATCTACTCACACATCTCATACCAACAGTAAGAGATTCCATTCACTGATGCCACGTTTTGGTCTGGATACTTTCAGTCTTTTTCCAAAATAACTGTACTTCAAACAACGTTACTTATTGGAGTAGATGACAATTAGGCATCCGTAGTCATCGAACGACTTGCTTCTTTTATCTACGGTTTTGCCCCTGTGACATTACTAACTTAGTGATTCCACGACACACTACTAATCCTTGTAAAGGGAACGGCGTTTGAGCTACACAGGACCATCTCATTTCTTTTGCTTACAATGGTTATCTTTCATAACCCTATAGTAGAACAGAACAAACTGTTGTACAACATACTCGACCCTTAGGAAGCAATCGGATATCGCGGGTGCCATAGCGTAATTTCACCAATAGAATCTTTTGTATTTATGCTGAGATTTCGTTGACTACTGACCCACTAAGGTTGATCCAGCTTCTCAAGTCAGTGAAGTAGTTATTGTGTTTAACCATTTCACCCCCCCTCCCCCATTTTAAGACAAAGCTAGTGACATAGCCCAATCTTGAAGCACTAATTTTCATTTGGATGATGAGAAATGCATCCCAAACATTCTAAAATTATTACTGATAATGTTTAGGAGACTGCATTTTGTCAACATCTCCACCTAACAGAGCTATGTCATCTGTGTAATCTTTCGCATTAGTTAGAGGGCCTATCTCAATGTTTTATTCAGGTTGTGACTGAATAGCGAGCAGCCAAAAAGTAGCAGAAGGCCATTCGAGGTGTTTCTTGGTGAATTTCGTCCATCATACCGATTGTCTCTTAAAGTGAGTCACAGATCCTTCTTTTTCCTCTATAGTTTCACCAACAAACATCCAATTCGTTTCAATTTCGCTAACATTAAAACAGCTTTCTACTATTGTCTAGTAGTACTGCAACGTTCTCCATGTCTTTAGCCTTCACTATTCGTAGTCATAGTTTAGGTTTCTTTTTAGTCTACATTCGAGCTTCTTGTGCTCAGGGACTTTAGGAATGCATTCACTCGTTTGCATCAATGCGTATGAAGCTACTGAGTTCCGCTGTCAATTCCCTGCTTTTTCCTGGCTTTCACTCACAACCTTTACGTGTATTCCTACAGGTTTCTTCAGGATGAGTAAAGTTGTTTCTTTACGATAACTGCCTACCAAGCTCTTGTTTGAAAGTAGCTAGATATCGTTATCGATCTGCACTCGATTGTTTAAGCACAGGTATATGAATGCACAAGGTAGCTTGTGATCACTGTTTGAGCCATGTCCCACAGAAGAAGCGCCAGTCTTTCACCAAACCTTTCCAGCGACAACTGAATGTGGTATGATATTTTGGTGCTGGATAATGGAAGTCAGTCAGCGGCTGGTCCTGGACCTAGGTATCATCCCAGTTGTCACTCATCAACAAAATGTCTCTGCAGGCATGTGGAAACTGATGTTTCCTTTGTGATTTGAAACTGTGTAGTATTTTTATCCACCTTTGGGTTGATGTTGGCGGATTCTACGTTGGACAATATCTTTCATTATGTTTGAAATTGATGCTGACCAGAAATAGGTGGTTGTCTGAGTATGGTTGTAGCAGGCAAACGTTACTGTTCGCTCTCTCGGTTGGCATGTCAAATGGGCCAGCTAATTGCCTTTCTGTCTGGCTTAGCGTTCTCACTTGTACATTGAAATCACCAAGTGGATGTGTAAGTTGAGATTACATAGAGACAATCGTGAAATTCATTATTCTGTTTAGTGGTCACTACACCATTCAGTCGAATGGCTCACGTAAGATTTTAATCTGGGATCCAATCGAGTAGTGCAGTTTCTCCCTCAAGACTTAGCCGCAATATCAAAAAGTAGCCGTCAAGTTTGCAGTAACTTGTGGTTTGAGTTTTTGCAGATTCATTATATGAGTTTGAGTTGATAACCAAATTGGGGTCGTTTATGGGTGTCTCAAAAACGCAGCATATGTCCATAACTCAAAACGACGGAATTTCAGCTGGCGAAGCTTGTCCGATTTGAAGTAGGGTTCAGACCTGAAAATCTCTGCTAATTAGTTTGAAATACAGTTTATGGAGAACAGAAACACAATTGTTTAAACACCGGTTCTCAAGGTGTACATATTTGTAAGAAATTATCAGAATTAATGGCACTAGAGGTGTGGAGAAATATTAAAAGGGAATGATGTGGAAGGTTGACTGCAATCGGGAGGGACTTAGATGCTGACAGAGGTATTAGGGTGGTTAGCGCTTCTTCGCGGATGGTTACTTCTTCTTGAGGTGCTTGAAAAGGGAAGTGAGTTAATGAGGGTGGTTTTATTGATCAGATGCACGACTGTAGAGCTTGAGGAACATCCTCTTGATACCGATCACACACATGGCCTTTGGGGTTTTTACTTTGAATTGGATAGTATTGTTGGGTCCTGCATTGATGTTCAGTAACTTACTGATTTACATCTGGACCTGAAGAGAAACTTTAACTCCTAACACTGGAAGTTCGTGTGCAGGAAGAAATTTGATCTTCTGTTGCAGTCAATTTTGTCTTATCTCTTCTTCCGTTTAGGGAGGGTCGCGTTAGCCTGAAATACTGATCACTCTCCAGAGACCTTACTAATGTACAGACTCCGTTCAGCTAACCTCCTGACTCTACCGTCCAACTCCCACGGTAGTGCGAATTGTTTTCATCATGACTGCAACTGCTTTTATTTTTATCGCTATCCAGCACGCTTTTCTGGCATGGGGGACAGTCGTTGCAGCCGATATAGCTAGTTTGGCTATTGTGATGTGCCGACCGTACCACCATATATAGTGCTATTCCGGCAACTACACATCACTTTTGTTTCTGAAGCATTTGAGAAACTTCGTCTCATTGCAAATGTTTGAAACAGACTCAGTTCATGGGTGCGCACCGCTGAACAGTCCCAAACCAGGGCGAAACAGCTCTCTAGTGCTCCTAAGTTTCCAATGGTTCTCCAGATTATGTAAATGTTTACTAAATACTACTTTGAAATAGTGTATAAGGCAGTATAAACTCTTAGAATTGAACAATTTCGATACAACCTTCAAACAGCTTTCCATGTTTCGCGTATCGGCTAAAAAGCTCGTGTTTTCTCACTGACGTATGTGTATCTTATCCCCACAATGACAACAAGCGTATACCCCACATTTAGGCAATAGAACCAGGTAAATTGTGTCCAACAACCCATTTAGGTTGATACTGTTACATAAACGTATTTTCCTGTATTTTAATCAGACTTCTTTTTCTTTTCTAAGATATCACATTGTTTTGGATTCAGACCAACAACAATTTGGTGGTTTCAGTCGAATTGACCAAGCTGTTGAAGTATTTACCCACAGTGAACCGTGGGATTGTCGTCAAAACTGCGTATTTCTCTACTTACCGAGTCGTACTTGTATGGCTTTGGCATGGGAGTAACTAAGGTTTTCCTCCATCATGTAATGGTAATAACACCTCATTGTAATTAGACTAAGTCACTGTTATCTCTCGTGATTGGTCATATAATTACATTTTAGTCGTAATCACCGGTGGGACATTGTGCTGTCGCATACGAGTTTACTGATGTATTTCTCGTCTTTTTTTCATCACTTGAAGTTATTTTTTGTAGAAACTTTACTATTAGTCCATGACTTTCATTGGATGAAATTGTCCATTTCATTTTGTCTTCATCACATTTTTGTAGTTGTTAAGAGCAATTACATTATTTTGACAATCATTTAGTGTTTTCATCACTTCCACATTTAAAGTATTTACATAATTCTCGGGGTTTTTATACAAACTTCTAGTTCAAACATATATTTTTTGTTCGTATGCATGTAAAAACTCCTTGTGAATGCTTGCCAACAAGATTTATCTGTGAAGTTGGTCAAATCCTTTGAGATTCGAATGTATGTTGTTCAACATTTAGTTAGGATCGTTCTAAAAATTGTATTACAGCACTATGTGTCAAAACACTTTCTTTCGTGATGCGTAGTATTAGTATCAGCTAAAGTAGGCTTAGTTGTGACAGATACTAAGGGGTGTTTTATTTCTCACTTAAAAAGTAAATCAGTTATAGCATAGGCACCAAGAAATATAACTACTTTTGCTGCCATTTAAGTGTGTGTTCTACCATTGTCATCTGCATATGTCGATTAGTCCTCCTAATGCGTATTTTTCCTTGCGTGTAAACTGATAATCCCAGTGTGACGTCGCATAGTCATTTGTATGGTGATGAGATTTGTGTTACAGCATGCTTTGTTTTCTCAGCTGTGGTAAGCCTGGTTGCATAACATTTCTCTAATATCAAACATTACCCGTCACTTCAGAATCATCCTTTTGAATTACTTTTCGCATGATGGTGCGATCTAAACGATCTCATCGAGACGGAATGCATAATGAATCTTTTCCCTTACTGATTTCTACAGCGGTTTATGAACTTTAAGGAATGTTCTTTTTGTGTCAGTGTATTTTGATATCATCATCCATTAGTTTTAGTGTTTGAATGTATGCGATTATCTTAAGTAATAATTTTCTTAAGTCTTACTTCGGACAAAAGCTTCCTGTAGATTGACCGTTTTATTGGACTATTTTTCCTGTTATTCAGGAGCATATCCAAGAACCTAGGCTGGTTATATATTTGTTCTAAACGTAATGTGTGTGAACATCCATTATTAGTACGAAATATAGTTAAACAGCTCCTGAAACAGTAACAGTGCATAGTTGTTGATTAAACATTTTGCTTTGTTTCACAAATGAATGTGGAAAATATGGTAGATGAAAGTATTGTAGATCCATAGGGATTTATGCTGATAAACTGTTACATACATCTAACTCAAATCAATTTGCTCAGTAAGGATAATAGTTGTGTACTAAGTATTAGGGGTGGCTTACTTCTCAGTGCGGAGAAACTTTTTTCAAGTACATGAAAGGAAAACAAATCGATAAAATCATTCGATTTCATTATTTTTAAGCTATGGGTTTGGTCAGTCTGAAGGAAATCAACGCCGTACAGGTTCATACTTAATCCTATAAGTGACGCTTAATCTGTCGGAGCGTGTAACAGTAATTAGTAGTCTGGGTTTAAGTTGATGGGGACGCCTTCCATTCCGGGCCTCTCTACTTGTGAAACTCAAGTACTTTAACTACCGAGTCAAAATCACTAGTTGATCTATTGGGTTTGTTGTTAGCTTGAATAAAGAGTCGTTTTTAGCCTAAATACCTGCGGATCACTTTTGCATTAGTTTGAGGAGTCCATTAACTGCACCATGTGATCCTTACTTGTAATTATACAGAATTTTGTGTGCCCACCTCATCAGTTATCAACAAACAATGCATTCAGTTTTCTTTATGATTTGTAATCGCACCTACATGCATAAAAGTGATATGCAAGAAAAATGTATCCTAGTACCCATCACAGCCAGCCACCGGTTCTCGCTATAATGGGGAAATCAGTCAGTTGAACTCTCCTCACATATTTCCTTTCGATGATTAACAGGTTCATGGTTTGCTGTGCCATTTTAGTCAAGCTGTTAGCATCATATCTCCAAGTAGATGCCCAGACAGTGCGTCCTAGCTATATCACTTAGTGTTGTTTCACAATAACAAATTCACCTCTGTCATATCCTAACTAACCTTGACTGAATTAAGTGGTGATTTGACCGAGTTCGCTATGTAAAAGAAAGTGATTACACATTCACTATTTGTCTACCAAAAAGTCAGGATTTATACATTAACGAGCCCAAGTAATTTCAAATTATTCCCCTCTTTAACTGGAATCAGATAAAGAATGGATTCGCAACCTTCTTACAGCTTCATTTTTAAAAAATACGTCCGGAACATAACCAAATGCCTGGATAGGCGCTAGGGTTGCTACAATTTACCGACAGGCGTATTTGGTGGGATAGCGTTATTTGTATACTTTAAACTAGTTCTGAGACAGGCAGAAACAATTTCGGCAAGAGAAGTCATTCCATGAAAGACGTTTGCAAAAAACCTTAGACATTGTGCGACTGAGTAATGATGATAAATACCATTTTAAGCCTTTACATCCTCTGTAATTTGACTGTCGATCGTTTAATTTCCTCCATCCACGCGTCCCTAACCTACTGACCCTTCTACTAAGCGTGAATGATTTATCAACCTAAAGAGGCTAAGCCGGTTTCTTCTTTACGATGTCGTCCTTTGTAAAAAAAGACTAGAGGGTGGTGAGCCTTAAGTTGATAAAAAAATCAGTCTGGAAGTTTTGTAGTTTTCTTGACCAATACAGTATTCATTAGATGATGTACGCGTGGTTATAGCAAATAGAAACTAACGTGTATTCTCAACTCTCTACCTAGTTAGGTTGGTGAAAAGATCGTTCGAAACTCAGACTGAAATGCAATGATCCAAGTTACTACAAAACAAGAAAAAGTTGACAAATTGATATCGAAGCAAAATAATAAATGAGTAGTAACAACTGTATCAAAATTCGAAGTATGAAAGCTTCTCTGTCCCTTGAGAATAGCAATTTCTAACGACTCCAAGGCACTCACAAAGAAAACTGCATTCCTAAGTACATGTGGCATATAACCTCATTTGGTTTCACCTTTAAATTTAAGTAAAAGTTACAGGAATCACGAATAATACAAAACCTAAAAATTCTATTAACATTTAAAGACAAACACGACAGACCGTCGTATTATGCGATCTAAATGTTCCACCTCTATTGGCATGTGGGCTGGTATGCGGATACCTCGATATTGCCTGAATGTTAATTATGATGAATTGGTTGGTTGTGGCTAGCAGACGAATTGAGGAGGCGCGTTTCGTCCTATTTGCGACTCGTCAGCTGGATGTACCTGCACACCAGTGATGTTGTTCCCACTGGCACTCGAACCTCGTAGCCATCGCTTCAAACGCCAAGGCGTTATCCACTATGCCACGGAGGAACGATACCCACTTCTTGTACAACGCGTAGTAGTCATTACTATTTATTGACATACTCGTTATTCTCCGTTGTTTTGTTCGATCGAATTGTTCCACCTCTATTGGCATGTGGGCTGGTATGCGGATACCTCGATATTGCCTGAATGTTAATTATGATTAATTGGTTGGTTGTGGCTAGCAGACGAATTGAGGAGGCGGTTTCCTGCTACTGGAGTCTCGTCTATTGGATGTGTCTCCGTACGTCTTGTTGTTGTCCTCCCCGTCCTTCGAGATGTTTCGTATTCTTCCGATCGCTTGTTTTATGTTTATGTTTTTTCATTTCTTCCTTGGCTTTCTCCATTCTGGTTGCTTTCTCGGGTGTTCCTGTGTAGGATCCATTTTACGCCTATTTCTGTTTGTATTTACTGACGATGAAGTTATGCCAACGTATTCTGGATTCTTTGCGTCGTTTCGGAGATTTTGCAAGGAAAGCTTCAAATTTTCTGTGTTTTATGTTCGTGACTTTGGTAAATGCATAACACTTTCTGAAATTCCGAGCAAACGCAATATCTTAATATATACAGTTGTGTGTATCTCTTTGGGGAAGTGCTTTCATTATCTAGACCATTGAATGATATGATACTCGTGTTCAATAATAGACTTAGAATATACAATTCGGCAACATGCTCTTATTGTTGTATTTGCTTTGATAGGTCATTCATGTCGTGCGCTTAATTCCAGAGTGACAAATTATCTAAATAAGAATAAGGTGAAATACATTAGTTCATAATGATCAGTCAACTTCGCAGTTCAAAATGAAATAAACTGATTTGATTTTGAAGACATATTCTCGAGGAAAGGAGGCTATTCCTTAATTCAAGGAGGAAAAAGCTGATTTGTAATGAACATTATGATGGTATCTCTTTTTTGGTACTTTGAGATACAAAGAAGGAAATTTTTAACATGTTCAGAATTTTAAATGAGATCCGTTTTTATGCAAACCATATAGTTTTGGTTCTTTTTGCACGATTCACCTTATTCTGCTGATACGAATTTTATTAAGGATGCTGGTGACCTGTTGTTATCTACACCAGTTAGCCCTCGTTTAGATTGCTCTGAAGTAAACCAATTCCTGTCTGTTATTGGTTAATCGTCTATCTCAAATAGTCTCAAGTTAAACCCTTCTAAATGTCAGACTAGTAATTTTAGCCTCAGGCGTAAAGAAGATTTGTGTGAACTGCTTAAGTCTCATGACGCCTGTTGCATTGATGGTATTTCTACAGAACGTTAACCGTGTGTCAACTGTCTTGGATTGAGTTTTACTCCTGATCTTTGTTGTTCGTCTGATATCTTGTTGACTTCTAAAAAATACCTTTAGTTTAACGTATTACATATAGAGACTGAGACTCTCTAGTACAACTCAACTTCTACTTTTAAAATTTACTAATTTCTGCATTTTACCTTTTCTTCTATGTTGTTCCCTGTTGATCTTTCCTGGTCTTCTAGGAAAGGACTACGTTATGTTGCATATGACTTTGAAAGCCGTCAGCAGGGTGGATGCTGTGCCTCTGGCCTAACTAGATAACACTAGTTGATAGACATTTACATTTTAGCAAGCAATTAGCTAAAGTAATTTTCACGGACACTAAGCATCCACTTCATTCACTGCTTTTGCCATGTATGTCCTCAGGGAAGACAAGAAGAAAGAAAGAAATAAGACTGTACGCTCGTAGAAGTATTTGATTGTACCTTACCTAGAAAGCATATTATGTGGATAAAAAAGTGTTAGAATAGAAATCACACACCAACTTCGTAATAGTTAAAAATCTCATTTCAATAATTTAATTAATACTGTGAAATGTTCCCTTCCCTAATATTCTTTACATTACTTTATAACTTACGTTATAACAACATAATTTGGAACGCAAAGGAGTATAAACAATACGTCGTGCTAAGAATTGCAAACTGTACCACAAACTGTTTGGAATAAAATAAATTATTATAATTGTGATTACAAAAGAACCTATTTCTTGAAGAATAAAAGTAGTCTGAAGTATATGGTGTTCGAAGCATTTCTGAAACTAGACAGTTAGGTGGTAAACTGATCTTCTGTAAGATGTATTCTACTGTCAGATAGCATACCATGCATGATGATACTTTTTCATTAATCTTTAATGGAAGCTGGGCCTCATGATGAGGGATAAATCATTTT